AACTGTTTTGCTTAGCAATAGAAATGTTGGGTTCAATAGTAAGTTGAGGACGACCTGTAATTAAATAAACATCAGGGCAGCAGTAGAAAGCAAAATAGCACTGGATAAGAAGGGAGTGCATAGAGTGGTCAGTGGGAACTGGACTGATTCTAGGCCAGGGGTGTCAAACTCAATTTCATTGAGGGCCGCATCAGCATTCTGGTTGCCCTGGGGGAGGGGGTGGCCAGGGTGGGGGTGGCCTACTGGGTGGGCATGGATGGAGTGGGTGTGGCCTACTGGGTGTGGCCTACTAGGTGGGCATGGCCAGCTCTACATGGTTCGCGTCAAGGGTGCCAGCTCTACATGGTTCGCGTCAAGGGTGCCTGTTGGGGCCTTGGCAGGAGTGGGACAGATCTGAGGGTCTCTGGCTTCATTCCTCACAAAGGGTGACACCTCCCCAGCATGCACCCAGGGGGCTGGGCCAACACGGCAGGGGCTGGTTCCTCACTGTTTCTAGACGGCCTTGTGGAGCTAAGACTGAATGCGTTTCAGCATAGATGGCCACCACAAAATTGTACATTGGCTCCCGGCCATCCTGGGCCAGGGCCAAGGCAGCAGGGGCTGTTCCCTCACTGTTTCCAGGATGGCTTCGCGGGCCACATGAAACCACTTCGCGGGCCGCATCCGGCCCCCGGGCCTTATGTTTGACATATCTGTTCTAGGCCCTGATGCTTCATCACCACAGGCATCCAGAAACACCAGAAATGGTGCATCTTTTGTAAGACTTGGGAGAAGGTAGAAAACACCATCATCCAGTGAGTTAAATTTGCAATCAGAGGGGTTTAGCTATGAAATGGCAATGAGAGTGACCCTGAACAGTGAATGAAGCGTTTTCAAACCACCATTATGGGAAGGCGAGACCCATAGTCCACGTACATTCTCACAAAGTTCAAGCAAGACGGTCATTCTGTTCTCCTGGAATGATCTTGTTTCTCTTTTCCATTCCAGATCTGTTCAGGACAGGGGCAATCTTTCTGATCAAGGAAAAGTGTGATGCAATTCCTATTTAATGTAGGAGGATAGCCATCTTAGTTTATGGGAGCAAAACATCAGGAGTCTGGGAGCACCTTTTGGTACTAACAAATAAAATTTATTTTATTTATTGCTAATAAAATTAACTAACTGCTAACCAAAGAAATTTGGTTAACAAATTTTATTAAAAGCTGTAACTTCACAAAAAGCTAATGCCACTTAATAAAATGGCATTACTCACGAAAGGTCCTCCCAGACTCTTGACTTATTCAACATTATAAGGAGACCTCAACTTAACAACAATAATTGGGACTGGAACTTCCATCACTAAGTGATACAGCTGCTAAGTGAGTTGCACCTGATTTTACAATCTTTTGACATGGCCATTAAGTAAATCACTATGATCATTAAGCAAATCTGGCTCCCCTCCCCCCATGACTTTGCTTGTCAAAAGGTATCTGGGAAGAGTATAAATCAGGGGTCTTCAAACTTGGCCCTTTTATGACTTGTGGACTTCAACTCCCAGAATTCCTCAGCCAGGCATGCGTGCCTGGCTGAGGAATTCTGGGAGTTGAAGTCCACAAGTCATAAAAGGGCCAAGTTTGAAGACCCCTGAGGTAGATGCTGCAATTCTCATACATATATGCTGGTTGCCAAGCACTCAAATCACAAACCCATGACCACTCAGATGTTATGATGGTCGTAAGTACGAGGACATGTCATTAGCTACTTTTTTCAATGCTGTCATAACTTTAGTTGTTAAACAAATGGTCATTAAGTCAAGGACTATTTGCACAAGTTTCTATGATGGTAGGAAAGATATGTGAGAGAGTTGCTAGCACAGTGTTTCTCAACCTTGGCAACCTTTTAAGGTGTATGGGTCTGAATTACCAGAATTCCCCAGCCAGGCTGCTAAAATTGATGCATCTTAAAAGTTGCCAATGTTGAGAAACACTGTGCAGTTCTGTTTTGGTATCAGATGAATTCCCAGATGATCCAACAATATGACTTGGGGCTTGCAAATGCCCAAAGTCTGCATATACAGGTAGTCCTCGACTCATAACAGTTCCTTTAGTGACCGTTCAAAGTTACAACGGCACTGAAAAAAGTGAATTATGACCGTTTTTCACACAACCATTGCAGCGTTCCCATGGCTATATGATCACAATTTTAGCTGCTTGGCAACTGGCTCATATTTATGATGGTTGCTGTGTGCCAGCGTCACACAATCCTCTTTTGCGACCTTCTGACAAGCAAAGTCAATGAGGAAGCCAGATTCACTTAACAACCCTGTCACTAACTTAACAACTGCAGGGATTCACTTAACAACTGTGGCAAGAAAAGGTTGTAAAATGGGGCCAAACTCACTTAACAAATGTTTCACTTAGCAGTGAAAAAAAATTTGGGCTCAAGTGTGGTTGTAAGTCAAGGACTAGACCTGTACCGCTGTGGTTTCAGGAAATCAGAGACTTCCATTTTGAGACAATTGCACTTCTCTGGAATGGATAAACTAACTTAAGCAGCTTTGATCATTCCAGCTGCTCAAGTGCCATCGACCCCTCCCACTCTGCCATGGAGCTCCATGCCTATAGGATAACTTTTCCTTTGGCTGCCAGAAAGAACAGAGCCTTGTCCTTCCCCGCCCCCCCGCCCCACTTCTTGGACAGACTAAAAACCATTCAGTCACCCAATTTGCAGGAAATCTAAGAGTACACAACAAATCCTATAGAAGCTTAAGATAAAGACAAGCAAGGACCCCATTGTTAATATCTTCATCAGAGGAAGACACTGTTCTCGTACTCAGGTTTTCTCTGTATGTGCCTGTGTGTGTGTAACTGCGTGCCTTTGGAGTCATTGTAGACACCTGGAGACTGGCTGGACTAATCCGTGCAGATTTCATGGCAAGGTTTTTCAGAAGTGTTTTGCCCTTACCTCCTTCTTTGAGGGCTAAGAGAGAGGGAGTGGCCCAAAATTTCCCAGCTGGCCTCAGGCAGAACTAGAACTCACAATCTCTTGGTTTCTAGCATGGTGCTTTAATTACTTAGAAAGAGTACAGAGAAGAGCAACAAAGATGATTAGGGGACTGGAGGCTAAAGCATATAAGGAACGGCTGCTGGAATTGGGTATGTCTAGTTTAATGAAGAGAAGGACGAGGGGGGACATGATAGCAGTGTTCCAGTATCTCAGGGGCTGCCACAAAGAAGAGGGAGTCAAGCTATTCTCCAAAGCGCCTGAAGGCAGGACAAGAAGCAACGGATGGAAACTAATCAAGGAGAGAATCAACTAGAACTAAGGAGAAACTTCCTGACAGTTCGAACAATTAACCAGTGGAACAACCTGCCTCCAGAAGCGATGAATGCTCCAACACTGAATGTTTTTAAGAAGAGACTGGACAGCCATTTGTCCGAAATTGTATAGGGTTTCCTGCCTGAGCAGAGGGTTGAACTAGATGACCTCCAAGGTCCCTTCCAACTTTACTAGTATTATTATTATTACTTATACCAAACTGACTCTGTCACATACTCAGTGCAACAGTGTCAATTAGATCTGTAAACATCATGCCTTAAACCTGTTTATTGAATTACAATAATATTCTATGAACAGTTACAAAACCTGTCTGCATATCTGAGATGCCTTGGTGGAAAGAAAAGTCCAGATGGAGCAGGAATCCTTGCAAAAGAGAAGCAAAAAGAGTTTTGTTGAAAGGGCTCCAGTCCCATTCACGGAAAGGATCTCGACTTTGGTAGATGAAAATCCAAACCTTTCTCTCTCTCTCTCTCTCGTCATGGAATGTGAGCGTTCGTCTTAGGACATTTAGATGCATGTGAGGTAAATAATAGAATGTACAGGTAGTCCTTGTTTAGCAACCACAATTGGGACTGGAAATTCCATTGTTAAGCAAAGAGGCTATGAAACACCCCTATGCTTATGACCTTACTTCAGTTTTCCTTTGTTTTGCAGACTTGAAAAGGTTGTAAATGCAAAGATTGCTTATGAAGTTATTTTTTTCATCACGGTCATAATTGCAAAATGGTTGCTAAAGAAGGTAGACGCTAAACAAGGACTCCCTGTATAGCATTCCCATCTAAAATGGGAAAGGTGTTTTAGGCCTGCTGTGGCAAGCCTGTCAACAATATCTTTAAAAAACCTACATCTTTTCCAAGTCTCATTGTGGGACACTTTTTTTTTTGAAGGGACAGACAGGTACAGTAGTGGCCAAAATTGTGGAAACCTTTTGGGAAAAGTGTACAGTAGAAATGCCACCTTTGGTTAAGATTCCACCAATTTTTCTTCTAATTTCTTTATAACTGTAGCCTTGTTCACTTAATAATGCTATTTTACATCACTTTCTGGGCAACCAGTCAATTCTTTGCACCATTACTGTAATTTTATTACATTTTACAAGCTCACTAAAAATGAAAGAACACAAAAAAACCCAACCAACTTTATAGCAATCACATAACACACTGACAAATGTCCTCCTCTCAGCTTCAATACATGACATCAATCACTGAATCCTACTGTGATCTGATTGGCTCATTGCCAAAACAAGATGACACCTGATTGGCCCTCTAAACATTCATGCTCATTGGCTACAATCAGATGAAGGAAAGCTACCTGATACCAACCTAAGCAAGTTGGGCTTCCTTTTTTCTGGTTATTTGGCTGTAACTTTTCATAGAATACAGTACACATAATTGAACAAACTATGTTGCATTACATTCTTCATTAAATTATCTTTCCATTGATATATAATTTTATGGTACTTCCCCTCCCCAAAAAAGTGGTGTTATTAGCCATCAAACCTCAAAAATACACTTTTCCCAAAAGGTTTCCACAATTTTGGCCACTACTGAAGAGTGAGTGTGCTCCACACCAGAGGTGAAGCATCATTCCTGCCCTGGATCCAAACACCCAGGTGAAACCCAGGTTGAACCATCAGCTGCAAATGTGGAGTGGAAATTCTGCCTTGTCCAACAGAAGGGCTCTCAGTACATTTGGTTAGGATAAGGCCACAGAGGCAGGAGAGAGACCGGATTTTCCCCCACGTGGATCCGCTGGTGCCTCTTGTGATGAGAACTCCGGCTGAAGCTTTTCCCGCAGTAACTACAGGTGTAAGGTTTCTCTCCCGTATGGATGCGGTTATGCTGGGTGAGGGTGGATTTGTCGGTGAAGCTCTTCCCACAGACGGAGCAGGTGTAAGGTTTCTCCCCTGTGTGGATCCTCTTGTGCCGGATGAGGTTGGAGCTGACGTTGAAACACTTCCCGCAGTGGCTGCACTCAAAAGGCTTCTCGCCCGTGTGGATGCGCATATGCTTGACCAGGTCTGAGGTCTGGTTGAAGCTCTGCCAGCATTCGGCACACGTGTGGGGGATTTCAAAGGGAGAGTCTTGCTTTTTAGAAACGCGGGGTCTTTGAGCACGGCCAGGGGCTGAGCTGGTGGTGACCACAGAAGTCTCTGAAGGGGTGCAGCTGCTCTGCTGTTTTCCTGGGGGGCCCTTCAGAGGCCGCTTCTGATGGGAACTCTGCCGGAACAATTTCCCACAATCAATACACTGGAAGGGGGTCTCCCCTGAATGGGTTCGCACGTGTTGATCCAAAGATGACTTGTCTGTGAAGCTTTTCCCACACTCTGAGCAAAGGTAGGGCTTCTCCCTGGTGTGAGTCCTCTGGTGCCTGCTCAGGTTGGAACTGATGCTAAAGGCTTTCCCACAGTCAGAGCATATATAGGGCTTTTCTCCAGCATGGATCCTCTGGTGGCTCACCAAATCCAAAGTCTGCGCAAACGTTTGCCCGCACTCCGTGCAGATGTTAGGATTCTCCCCCGCGTAACTTCTCTGGGGGGCCGTGGTGCCCTTTCGCTTCCTGGCCTTTTTGTTGGGGCTCCTTGCTTTCCCTTTCTCTTCTCCCAAAAGCAGGCCGCTCTTCTGCTGCTCCTCCAACTTCCACCGACTCTTCGAGCGTCTTTTACGAGTGGCTATCTGAGGAAGTTTCCCTCGGGACCTTTTCGGAGGCATCATGGAACCGAGAACTCTCCTCCCAGGTCACTCTTGTATTTCCCTAACCTGTTCAAAGACAACAATGACAACGAATCACAAAGCCACATAAATTCCAAACAAGTATTTGTTGTGTCAAAAACCTAATACAGGTAATCCTCGACTTACAACCATTCGTTTAGTGACCGTTCAAAGTTACAACAGCACTGAGAAAAGTGACTTACGGCCAGTTTTTACACTTACAACTATTGCAGCATTCCCCCCCCCCCCCGGTGGTACATGGTCCAAATCACTCAGGCACTGAGCAACTGAGATGTATTTATGACAGGTGCATTGTCCTGGGGTCATGTGATCACCGTCTGTAACCTTTCCAGTTGGCTTCTGAAAGCAAAATCAACGCAGGAGGCCCGATTCACTTAACAACCACGTGTTCTGCTTAACAACTGTAGCAAAAATGTTGTAAAATGGGACAAAACTCATTTAGCAACTGCCTTGCTTAGTAAAGGAAATGTGGGGCTCAATTGTGGTCATAAGCTGAGGACTACCTGTGATATTAGAAAATCTGCATATTGACAAAATTTCCAGCTGTCCATTACACACTCACACTCCCTGTTATTGGCTGTTCAGACTCATTGTCTGCCACTGGCCATTTCCCCTAGCAGGGCTGCCACTTCTGCATCAAGCTGCCTTCCTAACTTGGACTCTGCCCACTGCCTGGACCCTGGTCGCTGTCCCAACACACGTGCGTTGAAGGGGGCCCATTTCCAAACCCCGAGAAGCTCCTGTCCATGTTAAGAGCCCCAGAGAAGGAGAAACCCCAGCCAAAGCGAGTCTTAATGGGCAAAGCGGCACCCCGCGGCCTTTGGCCATATTGAAAGGCTCCCCTGAGGCGCAGGTGGCATTAAGCCCTGCTCATCCGCGTTATTTGCAGCCAGCTGAGGGAGCAGCCGGTCGTCTGAAGACCAAACCGCCACAAATGCACAGAGGAGAGACGAAGCTTACTCGGATCACGCGCCAGGAAGGAGAGCAGAGCAGAAAGGACGAGGCGCCGGATCTCTCTCTCTCTCTCTCTCCCTTCCTCGGATGCAAAAGGGCGCCGTTGTTGCCTGTGCGGAGCCGGCTCGCGCTCACGGCGGAGACCGGGACGGGAGGCTTATGAGAGAGGCCGTCGCTCTGCGAGTCAGTCGCTCGGCTGAGGCTGGCGCAGCCGCAAAGCCGCGGTCGAGGTCGAGGCTTGCGCCGGGGGGCGGACCGGCCGAGAAGCCGGGCAAGCGGCTGGGGCTGCGGAGCTGGCAGCGGAGGAGGAGTGGCAGGAAACGGCACCCGCGCCTAACCTGGGAAGCCCAACCTCGCCGGCGAGGGAGGAGGGCGAAGCAAGCGAGGCGGAGGGCGAGCCGCCTCTTCCACCGAGGGAGCCCTCTCGCGGCCGCCGGTCTCCGG